ATGAGCCAAGGTTACCTGACCGAACGTTCAGGGGCCCCCGGGCTGGCCCCCGAACGTTCGGGCGTTCGGGGGCCGAACACCTCTAGGTTCGGCCCCCGCCAAAAAAAATTTCGGGGCCTAAAAATAAGTTTTTTTTTCTGATTTTTTTTTGTGAGTTCTCTATGATGTAACCTACACGCCTATAAATTTTGATGCCATTCTGCTAAGCCAAACAAACATTAAAAATCGTCAAAGATGGGGGTGTCAAAACATGCTCGCCCACTCGCTATTTTGTTTTTTTTCACTTCTAACTTTTTGTTTTCGCTTTATTTCGGGGTCTAAAATTTTTTATTGTTTTTTGAAAAAAAATAATGAGTTATTGATTATGTAAACTACATATATGTAAATTTTCAGGGCATTTGTCAATCCCAAAAAAAAATAAAAATCGGCAAAGATGGCAGTGTCGAAAAGGTGCGGGCACACTCACTCATTTTAATTTTTTTATTTTTTTTTCTAATTTTTATCATAGTGTTTATTTTCTGTATTTGATTTTTAATTCAAATATGGTAACGAATTTGGATGTAGTGCCCAGGCAAATGTTGTTTAGTTTAGCTTTCTCCATAACATAATTTTATTTCGGAATTGTTTGAAAACTTTTTGGTTTTTTTTTTTTTTTTTTTTTTTGGTCCGCGTTCGGCCCGAATGGCCGAACGCCTTCCGAAGGGGTCCCGTACGTCCGGGCGTTCATGTTCGGGCGTTCGGCCCGTCCCGAACGCCGGTAACCCTAATATGAGCAGTGCGGCTAAATTCGGCTCACACGACTTTTATCATTTCTTTTTGTCATTGAACACCATTTTGTTGAAATAAATATTTTAATGATTTTATATTTTATTGAACAAAATTAAAACCTACAAATTTGACCTTGAGAATGTAAACGTTTTAGCTTCTGAGGTTTCATTTGGACTTCGTCAAAATCTAGATTAACAAAATGATTGTTATTTGATAGGTGGCGTTTGAGTGAAGGTGACCACACACCCATTCTAAAGTATCGTTGTTCATTCTAACCAAGACCAAATTGTTATGTGTGCCTTCAAAAAATAAAAATAAAAAGCCTGGTAACTTTCTGGCATACTTTTTGATTGATGGAGAAACATAACAAATACGCTTAGCCTACCGTTGTCAACAAGAGTAAGATCATAATAAATTTAGCATCATGTCAAACTGAATTGAGAAACATATTTTATTATAAACACAAAGTAAGCAGACCAGTACATGAGTAGAATATTTATCTGTAGGAATGTTGATTGTTTGTCGAATAATCTTGTAAGCTACCTTAGTGAAGGAGTTTCTAAGGTCAAAGTGAACAAAACTTAACAGGATTATGAGATTCAACATATACCCTCCCGATCTCTCAAAACACATTAGCAAAGTGACACCTTTGCCTTGTCGGTTAACTCAAACTTTATTATGCCTAATATTTAAAACATAATCACAAATTCATTCGATAGGTCAAAGATTATAACTGTGCAACAATTTAATAAACATTTCTTTTATACTGTAACTCGAAGAATAAAAAACGCCATTAAGGCAAGATCGAGTTTGTGACTCAAGGTAACATATATTTTTTTAACGAAAGCTTCGTAGATTTGAGGTTAAAATTAGAATGGCATTGAATATTCCACAAGTATTGGTTAATAGCTTTGGAGACTTCCCTACATGCCCTCATGTTGGGTTTTGAGAAGGATGGATGCTTTTTGTTTTTCTTCTTTATTGAGAGAGGGAGAGAGAGAGCATGCATATGGTTGAGTGAGATGCTCATGTAACTTTTCATAAAGAAGCATAAGCTTCAATTATTACTCAACAAGACAAACAAACTAACTTGAATTACATGGTGCTGGTTAGTTCGATATTGATACCTCAAGACGATTGTTTTTCGTAAGAAAAATAAGAGAGAGAGAGAGAGAGAGAGAGAGAAACCTCTTTCTCAACACCTTCTAACGGTTTGAAACTTGTAAGAAATAACCGCTTTGTCTCCTTTGCAATTGCTCTTGCACTGTGCATCACACTGTTCACATTCGCCGACGAATGCCAATGTGTCTGGCTGAACACAAACGGGCGTGATTTTTTTTTTTTTTTTTTTTTTTTTTTTTTAAGAGGTTGGGGGGCATATTCCTTCACCCCTGACTCCCTGAGCATATCCTAGGTCTAGAAGCATTGAAAAACACCTAGAGGGGGGTATTCTTTGACTTTGCAAACCACCCCCTCCCCCCCCAGCTTAATTGTCCTCTCCCCCTGCCCTCATGTGTGTGTCTTTTGGATTCGGACCAGAACAACTCCCTGTGAAAGAGGAAGAAGCAGAAAAAGAAGAAGACAAATCGAATATAAGAAGAAGAAGAAGAAGAAAACTAAGAAGAAAACTAAGAAAAAAACGAAGAAGAAAACGAGAAAAAATAAGTGCGTGCTTACAATGCATCCGCGCAATGGAAGGAGGTGGAGTAGGAGGAGAAGGAGGGCGCCGATGGTTGGCGGGTCTCTCTCTCTCTCTCTCTCTCAACGACCGTTTCGTTAAAACAGAACGAAATTAAAATCGAGTTTTTTGGTCGAAATCCGGTCCAAATTTTTGGCTCCTGGGGGTCCAGCGTTCCTACGTTGGACCCCCTAGATGTATCTGGTCTCAAGCTGCGACCAGATACATCTAGGGGGTCCGGCGTTCTAGGAACGTCGAATCCCCAGGAGCCTAAAATTTGGACCAGATTTCGGCCCAAAAACTCAATTTTAATTTCGTTCAAAAAATATAATATGTCCGTTTTGACGAAATGACTCTCTCTCTCTCTCTCTCTCTCTCTCTCTCTCTCTCTCTCTCTCTCTCATGAAGACAGCAAGGAGGGCAGCAACGACAGGGGATGCGGCCACGGCGATGAGTCGACGACGAAAATTAGTTGGGGGACGTTCGAATTAAAACGAGTCCGCAGCCCCCCTCACCTCGAAACAGAACTCCCCTGCTCGCCCAGAACCACCCCCTACTCCCCCCCAACCCCGCGAACCGCCAAAGGAGGTCGGTCCCGGCCCTGACAGAACACGTTCGAGGGCCGCGAAAATGCGTTTTCCCGAACGGTTGAACATGTTCGGATGTTCGCAAGGACGTCAAATATGTCTGGTTCCTCTCTTATAACTTTCTTGGGGAATTTCATAACAATTCTTACCAAGCCTATCCGAGAAGGTTCAAATGCATGTCCTTTATTTTCTTGTTCTCGTTTCTTACCCAGAATCCTTTCTATAAAGTTTGATTCTACCCACCCTTCTCTTACCTTTGTTTTTTCCTTTTACAATTGGTCACATGAAAGCGACATACAGTCATTATCATCAGCTCTCTCTCTCTCTCTCTCTCTCTCTCTCTCTCTCTCTCTCTCTGTCTCTCTCTCTCTCTCTCTTTTCATTATCTCTATGGCAACTACTAAAGGAGTGCAATCTGCAAAGGGCAAAAAAATGAAAAAAAATATTTTCTCGGTGCTAACAAAATAATACAAAAGTTTCATAGCACGGCAAACATGTTCCAACCCTCCCACGTTCACGTGAACGGCTCGTGAGTCACGAATGTGTTCGAGCGAACATAATTGTTTTTCGTTTTTTTTTTCAAGTTTATGATTTTTATGTCACATTTGGCTATGAATTTGAATATGACTCATAGGCAACCGTTACTCGTATTGCACTATTATATGATATATTTTTTTTTTAGTGTTTTTTTTTACGTTTGCTTTCGAAGGGTTTTGGGTGCTGGTTCCATTTTTTAAAGATACTTGAAATTAAAAAAATCTCGTTTTAAAATTTTCCATGATGTTTTTTATTTATTAAGTTTTGAAAGTTTTTCTTTTGGGAGCATAATTTTTATCTTACTAGGTTTTTTGTGACTTTTTTACACAAAGAATAGGCTTCGCTTGCTGGATGTGCTCGGAGGCCTTGTTGCCCCTGAAACTAAAAACTCTATCTCAATTTGTATGTTTTTCTTAGGCACTGGACCCTGATAAAAAAGAGAACCCTTAAAAAAAAAAAAAAAAAAAAAAAAAAAAAAAA